GAAATGATAGCTGTGTTAAAAACAAACACAACTAAGAATAGTTTTGATTTATTAAAAACAAACAGAAAATGGGTGGGAAGAGGCCTAATCAGAAGTAGTTGTATTGGGCCTCAAGCATTTACAATCATTCTGTTCGGTCATAACGATATTTCACATTTCGTCGAAAATATATTTCAATCGATTCACTCACAATTTTTGTTCTTCCTCTCCACAGTCCAGACTTTCTCATCAATGGAGAGAACAAAGCTTGAGACAAAACTCCTCGATAAGGTGGGAGAAGCCATCTCTTCCATCAGCGACGCGAAGCACGTCGACCAAGTCATCTCCGCTATTCATTCCGTCGCCCTTCTTATCTTCCCGGTCGATCCAACGACACGTATTGGAGACAAATACGTAGAAAGGGTTTGTATTTATCTATGTTATTGGTTTATGAATATCTATAGCTTTACTTATGATTCGCCACACAGTTGTGTAGCTCCCTTGTTCCTTCTGAAGATGAGAGAAACGATTGGTGTCAAACGTTTTACCGAGGTGTTGCGTTTCCAACGTTTGCTCGCGTTTTGTTGCTCGGTAAGTTTCTATCAAAAAATTCAGTCTTTTATTTTTGTTATCCTTCTTACGTCTTTGTAGTTTACAACTGTGTTCTGTTTTAGATATTGATTTGAGTTGTTGTTTACTTGATTTAATTTGGAAGTTATGTTATTTTTTTTAAAATGCAGATGTTGCCTCGGATTGGCTCTCTTGCTTCCCTGTATCAGTGCAGAAACATTTGTATAATTTGTTCTTCTTAGATGGACCTGTTGTTGAGGTTGTTCAGGTCTTGGTTCCCTTCCTACACCACGTTGACAAAAATGCTGCCGTTGATGCCAATTCTGTTCAAACCAATGTGGAAAGGTGCCCAAACACACTCAATTCTTTTCTGTCTTTTTCATTCATTTTCTTTTCCACATAGCTCCTGGTGGAGAACTAGTAAGCATAAATCCATGATTCTTCAACAATATTTTTTGCCCTCAATGGTATTATTCTTGTGTTTGGTATGAAGACCAACTTTTCAAGTATTGACGTGTTGTGAATATACATTTATGTCCAGTGGTATATTTAGACTCTAGCTGATGCAAATGTTATGTGACTTTGCTTTAATGACAGATTGCTTATATTGTGTTTGCTTGAAAATGCTGGAGTGCTTAAGATTACTAAAGAAATTGGTGATTATTACCAAGGAAATATTTCAGTGAATGGAAGTCTCAAGCCTTTGTTATCAAGGCTGTCACAGATACTGACCTCCATTCCTGATAAAGCACGGCTGAAAGCCCCGCCTTTGCTTTCCTCTCAGTATCCTTTTTTCTGTGCACACAGACTCCAGCACTTTCAGTGTGATGTATTTTAGCCTCCGTTAAGTAATTAGATTATTTTTTATTATCATATACAATAAGGTCAGTGTTTGTCTTTGACATGAGTCTTAAAGTTTATACTTCAAGCACATTACCAATCAGCTTCTACAAATATTGGACGACAGAGCTTCCTCCCCTGAGGCCGATAGCACAGTTATCGTTTTATCATTTGTAGGGGAAATGTTTTCCCGTATCTGTAGACGCGGATTATCAGGTATATATGCTCCGAGCATTTCGATTCTCAACCTACTGTGTGGTTTCTTTGTGGATTTTGAATTTACCATGGACTTGCTTATATTCACGTTTTGTCCTCTAAGTTAGGAGAATCTTGATCTGATTCTCGCTACAGATAGGAGAAAAATATGCTTTAATATTTTTTTTTTTAGTACTGATGGTGTGACTATGTGTTTTTGATTAGAGTTATTTCAGTAAACAACATTTGATGTACTTCAGAATGATTTTTATTCTGTTTTTTGTTTTTAATTTGCAGATTTGCTGTTAAGTGAAGTAACACCTCATGTCCTAGCTCATGTTAGGAGATTACTAAACTCAAAGAAGGGTTCAGTTGAGATTGAAACATTCCAGTTGGATCCAACACCCAAGATTTGGTCGAAAACTATGGAAGCAGTGACTGATCCGTATGCTGTTGAGAAAATGGCTGAACAACTTTTACATCAGCTTTATGCTGAGCATGCAAGTGATGTTGAAGCCTTCTGGACTATTTGGACTTTGTTTCATCGCAATATGAAACATCAGGCATCAGTGAGGTGAGCAAAATGGTTTCGTTTGTCTCTTTTCAAAGAAAACAGATTTGCCGTATTTTGTTTTTCTCACTTTAGTCTATTTTGCAAGTAATTTTTTGAACTTCATTTTTCAGGTCCATATTTGTTGACAAATTTTTGCTGTGGAAAGTGTTTCCTATCCGTTGTCTGCGATGGATCTTACAGTTTTCGGTTCTTGAATACCCACCGGTTACTAATACACTTGCTAAAGGTGAAATCACGCAAGGACTGTTTGAAACAACGCAGCGAGTATCCTCAGTCTGGTCAAAAGGGGAGTTTCTGCAGTCTGTCCCATTGGAGCAGCAAGCTTGTATCCGTTTTTAAACTTGATATATCTCATGAACCAATCGCACATTGTAGGTTTGAATAGACGTATTGTTAAATCAGTGTTTAGAGGGTGAAGAAATGTTCTAATCTTCATGCTACTGTTTAAAAGACTTCTAGCTCCTGTTTCCCATAATATATGATGCCAGATATAACTGCAGCTCTTGGGCTTTGCCTGGAGAACATGTCAAGAGAGGAACTAAATAGAACGAAGGATGTAATGCACAACATTCTCCAAGGAGTTAGCTGTATTAACTCATCTCACTCAGTAAGAACTTAAACAGTCAACCGATCTTATCTCGTTTACTTGTTTATTTGCCAACAGGTAGACTGGAGAACCCAGGAGATCTGGTACGGAAAATGGCTAGCTCTATTGCCTTTATGTTCTCTAAAGTTATTGACCCGAAGAATCCTCTGTACCTTGATGATTCATTCACTGGGAATGCAATTGACTGGGAATCTGATTTGCAAACGGCTGTTGGAGGGGTCCGGTCAAAATCAAGTTCAAAGGAAAATGAAGACGGTGAAATCAAAGCAGCAGCCTCTTTAACTGAAGTAAAAGACTCTAACCTCAGAAACAAGGAAAAGCAAAATCGCAAGAGCAAGGACGTAGCTAATTATGTATTGGCTGATCCAGATGAAATAGTTGATTTATCTACTTTAAACTGTGGAACAGAGAGTGATGATGGCGATGATAACGCAAGTGTAAGCTCTGATAATTCAAGTGTTACTTCTTTGGAGCCATATGATCTTTTAGATGATGACAAGGACTTAGGGAAACAGTATACACATTTGGTTGATGTTGTTGGAGCTCTTCGGAAGACTAATGATGCTGATGGGGTGAGTAACTAGAGATAATTGTCTCTGACGTTGACAACTTGCATATACCTTCATTAAGGTTCAACACAAAATTGCTAATTTGTATGGAAATCACATCTTGCAGGTGGAGAAAGCGATATATGTTGCAGAGAAACTTGTGCGAGCATCACCGGATGAACTGACCCATATAGCTGGTGATCTTGCTCGAATTCTTGTACAGGTTCGCTGCTCTGATATATCAGTCGAAGGTGAAGAAGATTCAGCAGAAGAAAAGCGGCAAAGAGCTCTAATTGCGTTGCTAGTGACCCGTCCATTTGAATCCCTTGAAACTCTTAACAGTGTTTTGTATTCGCCTAACGTAGACGTAAGTCAGCGCATAATGATACTTGATGTCATGTCTGAAGCAGCTCGAGAGCTTGCTAACACCAGGACATTGAAACCTAAACATGGAGCACGCGGACCTCTGATTTCAAATATCTCAGATCCTCAACCTTGGTATTTGCCTAGCGATGCGAGTACCCCATGGAAGAAGGTCGAGGAGACAGGATCTTTTCATCTTAACTGGGCAAACCGATACGAGAGGGAGCTACAGCCAAAACCTGGACAGAAGATGAAAGGAAAAACTCGAAGGTGGAGCCTGAGATCAGGAGATAGAGATCAAAATAGTACTGACTGGTCACAAAATAGGTTTCCACTATATGCAGCAGCATTTATGCTTCCAGCTATGAAAGAGTTTGACAAGAAACGACATGGTGTTGACTTACTTGGCAGGGACTTTATTGTCCTTGGGAAACTTGTTCACATGCTCGGCGTCTGTATGCAGTGTGCATCAATGCATCCAGAAGCATCTGCTTTAGCTCTGTCTCTTCTAGATATGTTACAACGAAGGTACACATCATATCCTTTTGTCTATGATCCAGACCTTATACCGAATGCTTTCATGCTTTATCAATTCAATACAGGGAAATCTGTAATCACCCTGAAGCCTATGTCCGAAGGGCGGTTCTTTTTGCAGCCTCTTCTGTTTTGATTGCTCTTCACCCGTCTTACATAGTCTCAGCCTTAGCTGAAGGGAACTTTGAACTTGCCAGAGCTCTTGAATGGATCAGGACGTGGGCTCTTCAAATAGCTGACTCAGATATCGATAGAGACTGCTACTCCGTAAGTCATACATTCTCCATAGTAGATGTTGGTTATAACTAATAACCAAAGGAAATAAAGAGTGTTTGATTAGCTTAATCGTGATTGAACAATGTTACAACTGTGACTTGTCTTAGATGGCCTTGTCATGTCTCCAACTCCACGCCGAGATGGCTCTCCAAACTTCCCGAGCTTTAGAATCAACCGGTGGGAATAGCAGCAGAAGCAGTATGGGACCGATGAACATAAGTCTACCTTCTGGTATCTCTAAGCTGACATCAATCAAACTTCCTTCTTCAAATGTTCATCTCTAGAACGTTCATCTCCATTGACTTGGATATAATAGCTATAGCAAACATTTCTTTATAAAAAAATAAACTTATTGTGTTGGTGCAGTTTTTGATATCTATCGCAAGTCCTGTGTTCAGAAAAGTAGAGCCTTGTTCCTGATAACTGAACCAATTACCAACTTGTTAGTCTCTCTAAAACGATTAAGTCAGCTGCTGATGGCAATAACAGGTGCTAAAAACAGAAAGATTCATAACTTCTTCCATTCAGATTTATTTTATTGACAATGGCGCAACAAAAGGTTATCACTTAAATGAGTAATATAAACCAAAACCAGACCATGAGTTTGATAGATCAATGAACTTAAAAATATAAATACTATCCACAGTTCCTAAGATTTCTCAGGATGAAGTTTGAGATTTCATGCCAACTGAGAACATCTCTACCGTTTTGAATATTCTGATATCCCAAGATGCAACTAGTCTTCTACTAATCTTATCCGCTGTATTGATGTTTTAAAGCCGTTAAAAGTTAAACACTTTGGTCAACGAATGGCTCCCGAAGATTCAAATGTGTTGCAGAACTCTTCCAAGTCTTTATGGCTAAACCAGTCCTCTTTCAACTGCCAATTTTAAACAATGCATTTCAAGATTCTTGTGTTTCAAAAAGAAAAAGCATTCCAAGATTCTTTAAAAACGAAAACACAAACTTGTCGCTAACAAGGAGAGAATGATTTAAGTGATGATGATAAACTTGACAAAAAAAAAAAAAAAGTGATGATAAACTTACGAAAAATGCGTAATTATCGACGTTGAAGCCGTAAGCTTTTTCTATAAACCTATGAATGTAGTATAAAACAAAGCTTCCACATTCCACATCATTTGTCTGCTGTGGAACCTGAAACTACGACAAGTCAAATCTAGTTCTGAGATATAAGCATCAAGAAATCCAAAATAGCTTGGTAAGGGCAATCATTACATCTGGCACATGGAAGGGGATATCATCAACCAAGCTCGAGTCCTCACTTCTGCCCTCAATTCTGAATATGTCCAACACAAACCTGAAATACAAGAAGAAACACTCACAAACGTGCTATAGCGCAAAGTTTTACTCACAAATATCATTCAAGAGAGAGAGAGAGAGAGAGAGAGTACTCGCTTTCTTATGTCAGGTTCAAGCCGCTGCGCAGACTCGGTTGTTTTCAGTGAATCAAGAAACAACATGCATGTCTTTTCATTATCATCATCAAGATCTTCCCCAAAATTGCAAAAGATCAACAAAGTCCAATGGCTCCTAATGAAATATCATTAACAATAGACTTAAACAGTTGGAATTCCAAAACCGTTTCAAGAACACAAACATTAACTTACCAATAGACGATAGGAAGAAAAACATATTCTTTTGAGAAGATCTCCTTCGCCTTTACGGATTCAAAAACACTGCTTCTAACTCTCTCGTTTTCGCTTTTGTACATACTAAACCATAGACAGTCTACGTACACAAAAGAGTTCTTTTTCTCATCCAAAACATCTTTCTTCCATAAAACCCTATTCAAAAGTAAAACCAATTAGAGCCAAAACAAACATAAACAGAAGAAAGCAAAAGCTTACTCTAGATAGTTAATGAATATGTTGGAGTTGAGTTTTTTCCGTAGCTTGGGGACTAAGTACTTGCACTTGATCCTTCTCTTTGACCTTTCACGACGTGGGCATTGCTCGTAGAAACAAGGTGCAGTGAGTTTGAAAATCTCAAACTCTTCCTTGGTTAGTTTTGGTTTTGAATCACGCGTGTTCAGATAAGCAATATGCTTCCAACACGACCTGTGGTTTTCATATTCATCTTCCTCACAATCTGTACACATTACACAACAAAAATGCAGTTTACAGACAATCAAAAATATCTTCTTCCAGAAGAGCCATAAACCAAACCATAACTAAGTATCAAGATTTCATTTAAGCATAAGTCTCACTGTGATCGACATAAAGTCCCAAACTTTCAACAAATCAAAAGCCAATTCGTGAAACGTTTTCAGCAATAGACATAATCGAATTTCCAAAACCCTAATCCCCAAAACTGCAGAGAGATAACAAACAAGGTGGATACATTCGAGGCAATCATTACCCTCAATTATAGTAACAGATGGAGGAGAAGCAGTGACGGCTTTAGTGTTTCTAACACGATTACTCCTTCTTCTTGACATTGGAGAATCTCCTAGCGATTCTTCTTCTTTCTTCTCCTCTCATCTAAACATCTTCTCTCTTGGTGCCCATAATGTATGTACGAAAGGATTTTTGGCCTTTGATTTTGTTCCCCCAGTCAACGATTCTACGGTCAAGATGACTTTAAGTCTTTTTGGTCTTTCAAGAGAGATCTTTATTCAACTCTATTTAAACCCTAAATTAATTTGTCTTCTTCATATTTTATATATCTTTTTTTTTTTTTGGTTCAACTTCCAACATTTCTTTAATTATGGATTTAGTTACAAAGATTTGACCACACATAAGTTCAAATGCACGGATAAGGATTGATCTACTATCGTCCATAAACATTGAGTTGGACCGTATGCTACCTGATCGATACCTCTTTATACCGTTTCAACCACAATGAAAACAAATTCTTAACTACCTAAATTAGACCAAATGAGATGCCAATAGTGAAACCCAAATACAACTAAACTAAAAACCAATAGGCAAAATATGGTTTAATATATTGGGTTTCTAAAGATCAGATTGCAGGTCTGGCCCAATATCTCTTCACCATCTGGTGCATACTTGGTAAGATTTCGTCATTGTTCACTCCATACACTACAAAAAAAACTAAGCCTTTACTAGGAAATTTTACTAGGAAAAATCTTCCTCGTAAAATTACTAAGGCCTTACTTCGAGTTTACGAGGAAAGCAAATTTCCTCGTAAGATCCTCGAAAAATTACGATAAAATGTTTTCCTCGTAAGACCTTAGTAATTTTACGAGGATCTTACGAGGAAAAAGTACTTTTTCTCGTAAATCCGTAGTAAAGACTTTCCTCGTAAAGGTATAGTAAAAGCAGGGCCGGCCTTGGGCTAAAGCCCGTGAAGCCAGGGCTTTAGGCGCCACAGTCTATAAATATTTTAAGGGCGCCAATATTAAAATGAGTCATTTTATCTTGGTGGTTTGGATAGTTCCTCTTGTCACCTAGTGTAACAAGTTCGACGCCCCTTCCTTCTTTATATATATATATATATATATATATATATATTTTTATAGTAATAATAATAGCAATCAAGATTTGGTCCAATAAAACGATTTGGTTACCTTTTTTAATAGACTTGGTTTCTTTTATTACAAATTATATTAAATGATGTTATTAAATAAGCAATTTATTAAGTAACCTCTAATTATTTTTTTTAAAACGAGACATTCTTCTTTTGGCATCTAACATTTCCAATAAAACACTTTTTATTTTCCTTTTTTCTGTTGCAAGTTTTTGTAACTTTTTAAAAAGAAAATTATGAAATATGAACTAATAAATTATCTTAAATTGGGTCCTAATATTTTATGAGACATTTCACAATGTAAACTTGATGTTTATGTTACATGATTTTATAATATGTGTCGCTATAAAAATATACCATTTTAATTTTTAAATTTAGAAATAAATGCTATCAAAAGGATAATTACTAATCAACCAAACGAATTGTTAATAATATCAATACACAAAAAAATACTTGATTATTCAGAGTTGATTAATGATTTTGAAAATAATATAAAAGTTATTTTTAACATAATATTTCTTTTACATAATATTTTTTGAAAACAAATTAAAATCTAATAATAAGTTACATTATTCTGTTCAAATACTTAAAACAGTATAAATTTAGTTATGATTAAGGGAAAAAAATTTCACTGCGCTTTAGGCGCCACGTAAGTCCGGACCGGCACTGAGTAAAAGATTACTACGAAATTAGGAGGAAACTGTTTATTACTACGAAATTAGGAGGAACTGGATAGGAAATATCGAATTTAAATAAAAAAACGTGTTTTGTACCTACTTTTCCTAGCAATTTCCTAGTAAATGCTCCGATTCGAAAATTTCTATAAATACCACCTTCTGTGATTCATTTGAAACACACCAAAAAAAAATCAGCTATAAGCTTGATCAAACACAAAAAAATGTCCGGTCCGGGAAATATTTTCGAGTTGCGGCAGTGGATGTATTCACACAGAGATAATAACGGGAGGGTGACGAACAAATTTCTGGAAGGGTTGGAGACGTTTATGCATCAAGCAGATTCTACACCACTCACGCAGGAAAGTGGTAAGATGTTCTGTCCTTGTCGGAAATGCTGCAATAGCAAATTAGGCCCTCGTGAAAATGTTTGGAAGCATTTAATAAATAGAGGTTTCATGCCATATTATTATATTTGGTATCAACATGGAGAATATGCTAGTTGTAGGAATGAAGGTAGCAGTAGTA